TCCTCTACCCCCCCTCCTCAATTGTGGTCATAAGTCAAGGATTCCCAGTATCATATAGTGTGGACTGTTGCTCTCTGTCATTAAGAATGAACGGTTGTCCTAGGTGGGTGTCCCATCTGGTCCAATTCTGGTTCCTCCAGAAGAAAAAGTAGACTTGACAGGAAGCGAGTTTGTTGTTGAAGGACCTGGTTCTTCTTTTTCCAGGAAGAAGAGGAAGAGGATGAGCCTCCTGTTCTTCCTCCACGGGGCCTGGACTTGCAAGGTGACCCCAGAAGAGAACTTCCTCTCCCACCTTCTGGCCACCAAGGACAGGAGCAGCCCCTCTATACGGAAAGTGTCGAGGATGGAGGTGATTATGAGGATGTGATTGGAAACGTGGACTACGAGGAACCTCCTCCCTTGGCTGAGGATGACGACGACAGAGGGGATTATGAGGAAATGCCAGACCACAAGGACACCTCCAAAGATGACGGTGCTGAGGTGGACCAGGAATATGAGGAACTCTGCAGTGGCCAGCCTGGAGGAATGACTTCTTCAGGTGAGAGAAGGAGGGCGAGTTGGTTGAGCAGGGAGTTGGAAACTCAAGTCTTGACTTCAATGTGTAGTATGTGTGATGACCCGGGGCATGGCACAGAGATAACACAGGCAACTAGCAATTCAAACCACCCTTTTATGGCTCCAGATTTCCCCAAACGCTCCCACGTTTCTGGCAAGACCCAGAGCAAAATGATGACAACCCCCCCCGACACCCCAAGCAGCCTCTGGCTGCAAATACTCCAACCCTGCGTGGTGTACCCCAAGGCTGCCCAGCAATAAATCCAGCAGGGCAAATCAAGGAGTTAAGGAAGCAAAGGATCCAGGGAATTAGTCCCGAAAGCCGGAAAGAATTCAAGGACTCTTGGGAAGTTCCAACGTCGGCACTCAACACTCCAGGAATTTAGTGTTTGTTTCTGACAAATGTCCCTCTCCACAGCGTCTCCTTAAGCCTCATTCCCCAGGTGTGCTTTGTGAAGAGGGGTGGGGCGCTTTCCTCCCGAGTAGCCTGCTCAGTCTGCACTGTTCCCGCCTTCTCTCTGCTCTCTGTGCTCTTGGATCAGGAAGGAGTGGTCCTTGCTCCTCGCCTGAGCTCTGTCTCTCGTGTTCATCCTGCCCCTGTTTCTCTGTTCCCTGTTCCCTAATCCTTTTTGTTGCTCTTCTCTGCACTCTTTCTAGAGCAGTGGTTCCCAACCTTTTTTTCGCCCCACACCCCTAAAATTTTTTCACTTGAACCTTGCACCCCCTGAAATTTAGACTTTAGGAACTACTGAACGCGTTAAATATATGGTAGGATTGAATCTTTTCAGCTATGTATGTGACGGCCACTAAATAACAATACTTAACTCTAAAATGAAAACAAAGTTAATCCATTGCATAATAAATAAAAATGCCAACATATAGCCAATATCCTATTATTTACCTGGACTTTTCTCGCACCCCCTGGAATATCATCTCGTACCCCCAGGGGGTGTGAGCACCCCAGGTTGGGAACCCCTGTTCTATAGTCTTAACATCTTTTTTTACATCATGATGACCAAAACTGGATGCAGAATTCCAAGTGTTGCCTTACCAAGGCATTATAAAGTGGTATTAACACTTCACGTGATCTTGATTCTGTCCCCCTGTTTGTGCGGCCTAGTACTGCATTGGCTTTTTTGGCAGCTGCTGCACATGGTTGGCTCATATTTAAGTGATTGTCCACCAAGACTCTTAGAACATCAACCCTTTGCGATAGATGTGCCTTGATTTAAATTCTTGAGCCATTGAGGGTGGGAGCAGTTGAGGTTCAACTCAACTTTTCAAGTTAAAGAGGCAGGATCATTCAGACGATGGTCGTAATAAGATACCCCCATCTCCACAATTTTCTTTCTCAGGTGTTGAAGAGCATATTTATGATGTGAGTGAAGGAAGCCTGTCTGCCCTGGCCCTCTATGACTATCAAGGAGGTGGGTCAATTCTTCTGGATAATGGGGACTGGGAAGCACACGGAGGTGACCAGGGGTGGGATGCAAATATTTTTACCACTTCTGGTTCTTTGGGCGTGGCTAGGTGGGCATGGCTAGGTGGGTGTAGCCATGTGACTGGGTGGGTGTGGCTTCTTCTTCTATTTCGGAAGCAGGGCACACGCCCTGTGCTCTGTTTTTTCACCTCCTGGGCAAAGCAGTAAGACAGTGAGGGGGATCCTGGAACAGCTGATCATCGGAACAGCTGATCATCAGGAGGAAAAAAGAAAACCTTAAGGAGTGACTGAGTGGGGGAGAATGCCGTCAGTGATGTCAAACATGCGTACAATGTCATGCATGCGCGATAAGGACTGACTGGGCAGGGAGGGGAGGGGTGAGGCCAGCCAGGGGCGAGGCCAGCCAGGGGCGCAATTTGCTGGTTCTCTGAACTGAGCAGCACCGTAACAACCAGTTCTACAGAACCAGTCTGAACCGGTAGAATCCCACCCCTGGAGGTAATTATGATGGGTGAGGAATAACAGACTAACAGAGTTGGAAAGGGCCCTTGGAGGTCTTCTAGTCCGACCCCCTGCTCAACCAGGAGACCCCATACCATTCTAGACAAATGGTTGTCCGGTCTCTTCTTGAAAACCTCCAGTGGTGAAGCACCCACAACTTCTGGAGGAAAGTTGTTCCACTGATTAATGGTTCTAATTGTCAGGAAAATGCTTACTCTTGGTCTAAACAAGTATTGCCTGCTAGTTAAGACCGTCTCCATTTTGTTTTCCAGAGGGGGAAGATGAGATTTCCTTTGACCCTGGAGACATCATCACATCCATCGAACAGGTGGATGAGGGCTGGTGGCGTGGATCTTGCCGTGGTAGAGTTGGCCTATTCCCTGCTAACTATGTGGAGCTCCTTCCGTGAAGTTCTGCCCAAGAGCAGGCACCCACCCCTTGCTTCTCCAGTATACCCATACTTGCCATGTGACACCACAGACCACAACTCTGCCCCGATGTAGGGGAAGTGGAGAAGTGGATCTACTCTCTCTTCCATGGAACAATCAGATGCTTCTCCTTCCTGGAGCCATTGTACATCACCAGGATCTGTCCTCCTGCTTTTCTGGTCATGCGGTGATCTCTGAACCTATTCAGGCTGCACCTGGTTTGTTTAATCTCCGTCAGTGGATCCCCACAACCTCTCCATGCCCAATCTTTCTGGGACTCCTAATTCCATCTTGGCTAAGTCACTCAGGGACCAAGAGAAAACAGGCACGAAAGCTCCGTGGAGTTAGAAGGATGAAGATTAGTTCTGTTCGTGCAGGTTGTCCTTCCCTCACAGGGGTGGGCTTCCAACATTTTAGCAAAGGGTTCCCTGCCCAGTTGCTGGGTGGGCGTGGCCATGGTGGGCGTGGCCTCGTTGGCCTCCTGCACCATGTTGTTGGTGGGGGCATTTTTACCTTTCCCAGGCTCCAGAGGTTTTCCTTGAGCCCCCCGGAGGACGACAACCGCCTCCCTGGACTCTGGAGGCTCTCTGGAAGCTGGAAACGGGCCCAATTTCTGCCCTTCCCGAACTTCCAGGAGCCCTTTTTTCTGGCCCTCCTTGAACCTCCCTGCATGCCCTGCACTTATCTGCATCCAGAATGGACCCCATGGAGACTCCTGGGAGGGGAGGGGAGGAGTTGGTGGGTCAAGCCAGGAGTGTGATTTGGGGGTTCTCTGAACTGCAGAGAGTCTTAGTGAGGGGCTCCCCTGAACCCCTGCGAACCCCCAGCAGCCCACTCCTGCTTACAACTTTTCATTTAGCAACTAAAGTTTCAATGGCACTTTCAAAAAAGGGATGATCCTTGCATCTATGACTATCACAGACTCCCCACAGGGGCTGCTCTTCTGCTTTGCATCTCTGAATGTTGGGTGTGAAACTATGGAAAGCTCTGCTTAACCTTTCACGTCTGTCTCTCTTTCCCCAACTTGGACTGATCCCCACTGTTGGAGCTCACACCCCGCTAATTCCCGATCAACACGCCTGGTGGGAAGCAGATCTCCTGGCCACTGATCCTCATAGCTGGCACTCCTGCCTGTGGCAAACAGAGGAAGAGTCATATTAAACCATAAGCAACGTTAAACTTATTTAAATCCAAAGGTGTTTCATTTCCCAGTTACATGTCAATGTATGAGACGACATCCAATCTGCAAATTTATAGCTACTAAATGCAATGGGGAATCTGATGATCTTACTGGTTAGTTCAATTGAAGCGTTATCATTTGTTGGAAGGAAAATCCATCTCGTTCAGTTCCAAGAAAGACGCCGGAAACAACATGGAGGCTTGATTGGAAAGAAAGTTTATTGATGAACAGAGCCAACAACATGCGGTTCTGGGTCAGCTGAACAATTAGCTAGATGAGTGTCCCTCCCTCTCTCTCTCTCTCTCTCTCTCTCTCTCTCTGTGTGTGTGTGTGTGTGTGTGGTGTGTGTAATGCCCTTAGGCAATTGTGCCATGTAGTGAGCTCCGTGTCTTCTGCTAAATGGTAGTGGGTTCATCTTATTATATCCTGAATGGTCCTGTCCAGTTCTTAGAATTTGGGTGGAGGGGAATGTACATTTTTAATCCCATCCTTGGAGGTGAAGGTCTTTTGTTTTGTGTGTCAACTCACAAAACATTTCTGTGGTCTTTTTAGAGTGGCCAACAGAAAGGGAGGGGGGAGCAGTGTGGCAGCTTGCAAAATCGAAAGTGCATTCCATAAATAGTTTTCAAATATTGTAACTAGGTGACTGAAGTTTCTGCTATGCAAAATTCTAACTGGAGAACATGATTGATGACTCTTGGCTATGGATGTGTCCCATTGGAGAATATGAATTATGATACACCCAGAGGGTGGGGGGAAACCCAGGGTCAAGAGTTAGAATGAATTGTGTGTCTCAGAGTCGGCTACACCCAGGAAGTGCCTGCATGTTTACTCCTAATAAATCCTTTTTAAGTTTTGGAAGTTTGGCTCAAGACTTAAGATTTAAATGGGGGTCACTGCCGGAATCTTGACAGCTAGCTGATTCTCTCCACATGCTCATTGCAGCGAACCAGTTTGCTGCCAGCTGATCTTCGTAATAAAGGGGTTTGCCCAAACCGATCCGAACTGGTAGAATCCCACCCGTGATGCTGGCCTAATCTTTCTTAATGGGCACAAAATGTCTGCTGGGGGCTGTTAAGAAAGACTGAATCTGCTTTCTGTCTTTAAGAGCATGCTTCTCCATTTCTCCTTTAGGCAAGTATAATATTCTGCCTTTTTAATATCCCCCAAGATATTTCATTTTTCTAGGGGGGCTTCCCACACATTGAAGTTTCCTAAATTTTATAGCATTGGAGGTTCCAAGTGGAACAGTCTCACCAGCATTCATTCAATTTCTATCGTCGCCCAACTCACAAGTGACTCTGGGCACCTCATGGTGTTGCACATTGGAAATGAAACCCATGTTGATACTTCAACTGTGTAGGGTTCTGATCAAAGTGAAACTCACCTGAGACTCTGCCTGAAGGAAGAGGTCTCGGTGCTCCACACTGAACACAACAAGCCAAACTGGAGATGTTGACCCTCCACACCAAATTGTTTTATGCCAGAGACATCAATAAAGACCCATTACAAATAAATCTGTAGGACTATCTGGGATGGGTGGGGACTTCTGGGAGTTGAAGTCTACATATCTTCAAGTTGCCAAGGTTAAGGAGCTTCTCATTCAGAAATTATCCTGCTGGCTGGGGAATTCTGGGAGATGAAGTTCACATAGATCTTCAAGTTGCCAAGGTTGGGAAACATTGTCCTAACCATTCAGAAGTTTTCGTAAGTATCACTGCAAGCAATTTTTAAGAGTGGGGGACATCAGAGAAGACGTGATGGATTGTGGTGGCTCTACAGAAGACCAAACTGGTGGTCAAGGCAGTGTGAAGTGTGGAGTTTACAAGGCCCCAGATAGAATAGAATAGAATCATTTACTGGCCAAGTGTGATTGGACACACAAGGAATTTTTCTTGGTGCAAATGCTCTCAGTGTACATAAAAGGAAAGATACATTCGCCAAGAGTCAAGAATCATAAAGTACAACACTTAATAGCAATCAAATCTTACTAGGAAAAAATCAGTATAAATTGTAAGGATACAAGCGACAAAGTTACAGTCATACAGTCACAAGTGGGAGAGGGTGAGTGATAAGGAGTGATGAGAAAGTTAATGGTAATAGTAGTGCAGTCTTTGTAAATAGTTGGAAAGTGTTGAGGGAATTATTTAGCAGAGTGATGGCATTTGGGAAACATTGTCCTTGTGTCTAGTTGTTCTGGTGTGCAGGGCTCTGCAGTGTCGTTCACATCCACGAAGCCGTAGCCAGAGGGACTCACATCTCTCTACTCATGAGTTGAGAATAGTGCAAAGGTTCACAGATGGCCGCATAACGGTCATAGGCCATCACAGCCAGCAGTGTGCATTCAGATCCAGCACATGTCATTAAGAAGAACATCTGGGCCATTCACTCGTTGTAGGAGATGGTGGGCTGCTGGCATAAGAGGTTCACAAGGATCTTTGGAACCGTGACTGAGGAACAGCAAATGTCTAAGCAGGACAAATGGCTGAGGAAATAGTACATGGGACTGTGGTGGCATGAATCCAGCTGGATGTCATATACACTGACAGCATATGCACCAAGACAAATTCCTTGTGTGTCCAATCACGCTTGGCCAATCAAGAACTCTCTCTGTCTCTCATCAAAATAAATATCATTGAGTTGGCTGCCAAGGTGATGAATTAGATGGCCAGAAATGAAAGAGGAAGGGGCGTCCTCTGGGCATGCCAGAGAAACCCAGGAACAAGAATTCGGTCACCTGCAGGGTCTGATTTCTACCTTCCATGAGGTCCACCAAGCTTTGGTGGACAACACTGGAATGCAGCAGATTTCAGGAATAGTCATAGATTTCAAACCACAGCATGAAGAAGAAGCTTCACAAGCGGATTTATTTATATTCCTTGCAGACAGCTGATCATTTGCCTCCTTTGAGAAGGTTATTGAATGACTGTGTAAAGGATGTAAATTCTTCAACAACCCTCTAAAAGGATGCAAATGACCAGCTTTGTCTGCAAGGAGTATAAATCCTTCCATTCCCCACCATCCAGTCAGAGCTGAAGAAGCTTCTTGGATGAGAAGTAAAACGTCTTCAAAAGAAAAAACAAGAAAGTCCAGTTGCCTCTTGAAAAAGCACCTTTGGGACAACCATGACCTGGATGACTAAGGATCTATACAGACTTCCACAAGAGGTGATTTCTGACCCCAGCATTTGGGAGGGTTTATGTCAAGAATTATAACCTTTTGTAAT